CAGTACTCTTGAGAGGTCCCTCACAGCTGACTTTCCCAATGCAATTCGTCTCTTGATTTCCTGGCTGCTGTTACCAAGAGTGTTGACTGTGGAATCAAGTAAACTAAAACTGTTAACTATCTCAATCACTTCACCATCAATACTGATGCTGCCAATTGGCCCAGTTGTGAGAATCTTTGTTTTCTTGATGCTGAGCTTCAATCCATATAGGAGGCTGTAGTCCTTGACCCTCTGCAGCAAGCGCTTCAGGTCCTCCTCAGTTTCAGCAAGCAGGCTTGTGTCATCTGCATAATGCAGGTTGTTGATGACTCTTCCACCAATCCTGATGCGACATTCTTCCTCGTACAGCCCAGCGTCTCAGATGATCTGTTCTGCATACAGATTGACAAGGTATGTAGACAGAATACATCCGATGGACCCCCTTCTTGATTTTGAACCCTGTAGTGTCTCCTTGCTCTGTTCTGACGACTGCCTCTTGGTCCAAGTATAGGTTTCGCATTAGCACAATCAAATGTTCTGGGATTCCCATTTTTCTGAGTGTCAGCCATAGCTTGTTGTGATCCACACAGACAAAAGCCTTTGCATAGTCAATGAAGCACAGATAGACATTCTTCTGGTATTCTCTGCTTTCTGCCAAGATACATCTCACATTAGCTGTAATATCCCTAGTACCATGACCTCTTCTAAATCCAGCCTGCACATCTGGCAGTTCTCTGATGACATATTGTTCCAAACACTTTTGGATAATTTTCATAATTGCTTGCATGTGATATTAATGATATTGTTTGATAATTTCCACACTGTTGGGTCACCTTTCTTTGGAATAAAAAAAAATAAAAATCACCTTCAACAGAGACACTAAAATTTGAAAACCTGACATGGAGTCAGCAGTGTGGATGGGGCCTTCTGAGAAAGGTTCTCATCCCCTCCTCCATGCCAAGCACAGGAGTAAGCATGTCAACTTTCTTCCAGAGCGCACAAGGAAGGATGGAGTCTGCGGTGATGCCTCATACAGAAGTTAGCTTTAATGTGTTGAAAAACACCTGTATCATGAATCATACTGACAGTGCAAATTAAAAGTCACTTAACATGTCTTCAACATAAACATAGTAGTGACTGATAAAAAATTCTGCTGTAGAAGAAACATATGCAAAGAGATGGTACTTCAATTCTTTGAAAAAGAGCCGACTCCAAAATTGGCCTGACTTAAATAAGAGACTGATAGCTAAGTTCCATACAAAGAATATATATAAATTGTTTCATGAAGTATAAAAGGGCAACGTTACAGTATCCTTTTATGTATTATTTTCTATATGGATAAATATCCATATAGTCAAAGCTGGGAGACTCCCTCCTCACATAGCTGAAGGCTGGAAAGTTACTCACAAAATAGCCTTTCTTCACCTTCAGGTGAATCACCTGTTTCTGGCCCTGTATGGATAGCGTGTAGGATGCCCTTCCCACT